AAAGCGAGAAATCACCCCCCAGGGGGGATAGCCACGCTGCAATCCCTTCTCCTCCATTCTCCTCTCGGGATCTTGGGCACGCATGCACACGCACCCGGCGTGAGTTTTAAGCCACCAGGTCCGGGACGCGAACCGCGGTCAACTACGTGGGAGTCCAGCGCCATAGCCATTACGCTAACTGCTGGTTCCCAATACTGTGTATGTTACTTTGGGCCCAGCCCTGATATTACCATGGTGGTAAGTGCTCCGCACCATATAAAAACCAGGGTTTGCTTCCAGGGTGACCTGTGCACACCAGGCGTGTGCACATGTTCCGTGATCCTGGCTGGCTGGCCAAGGCTTGGGGGAGGATCATGGCGTGAGACCCTGTTGAGAGTGTTTGTGTCTTCTCTCTCTCATGAGATAAATGAACTTTAATACATTGTTCATACTGATTTTTTTTTTTCATTTTAAGAGCAATGTTTTGGTAGGTTTTGCTATAGGGCACATGTGCTCGCCAGAGAGATAGAGAGAGACAGGAAGGCACCCCCAATAGATCTTTCTACGACGTCCACCCCCAGACACAGCCAGCCTAGGTCCTGGGCACTTAGTGTGCCTGGCGTGGACTGGAAGGCCTGAGGGTGCAGACCCAGGACCTGCCTGTGTGGGTCTGCATTGCAGAGTTGTGTTACTGCCTCACTCCTGGCTGGCCCCTAGATTCCTTCAATGGGAAACAGTCCCTCCGTCTCTTCATCCTTCATGTCGTTGGCATGGCCAATGAGCACGGAGGTTACTTTATGGACGTTCCTCAGCGTGGTCTGTCTGTTTCCTCATGGCTGGACTCAGTCCCTCGGGAGCACGTGTGATGCTGGGTTGTCTCAGGATGCTCCCTGCGAAGGCACACCATCCCATCTGCCCCTCATTGGCCCTCTTTACATGTGCCCATCATCCTGGGGGCGGGGCATGTCACTACTTCCTGGCACGACAAAATGTACCAGTTTCATCCTGTACCTTCCTGCCCCACGCCTGGAATCAGCCAGTCCCTAAGGGACCTGTGGTTCCTGTGAGTGGGCTAAGACCCGGACATTGGTTGGTCTTTTTGCTCTCCATTTATTGCCCACAGGGCTTTTTTTTTTTTTTCCCTAGAGACTGCATGCACTTGCCTGAGAAAGACAGAGGAGAAAGCACCCCATTGAGGAAAGGTCGTGCCATAATCCCTTCTTCTCCATCACTCCCTCCCTTTGGGGTTTTGGGCACACATGCACAAGTGCCTGGCATGTTTCTTAAGCCACCAGGTCTGGGACTCAAACCGCATGGTTCATCATGTAGGATCTTGCTGCCTTAACCCCCAGGCTATGGAGCCCACCCATCTGGCTTTGTTGTTCTTCTTGTCTATTAATTTGGAGTCACACTGCTTATATACGTTTTATTTTTCCAGTCATGAATGTTGTCTGAGCTGATGGATATGTTTGTTCTCTAGTAATCATTTTACTTTATATTGCATCTTAGGACTTTATGCCGTATACCTTAAATGTATAGCCACAGTAAAATTTTTTTTTGAGAGGTTTTCGCTATAGGGCACGTGCGCTCGCCAGACAGACAGAGAGAGACAGAGAGACAGAAAGCGAGAAATCACCCCCCAGGGGGGATAGCCACGCTGCAATCCCTTCTCCTCCATTCTCCTCTCGGGATCTTGGGCACGCATGCACACGCACCCGGCGTGAGTTTTAAGCCACCAGGTCCGGGACGCGAACCGCGGTCAACTACGTGGGAGTCCAGCGACATAGCCATTACGCTAACTGCTGGTTCCCAATACTGTGTATGTTACTTTGGGCCCAGCCCTGATATTACCATGGTGGTAAGTGCTCCGCACCATATAAAAACCAGGGTTTGCTTCCAGGGTGACCTGTGCACACCAGGCGTGTGCACATGTTCCGTGATCCTGGCTGGCTGGCCAAGGCTTGGGGGAGGATCATGGCGTGAGACCCTGTTGAGAGTGTTTGTGTCTTCTCTCTCTCATGAGATAAATGAACTTTAATACATTGTTCATACTGATTTTTTTTATTTTATTTTAAGAGCAATGTTTTGGTAGGTTTTGCTATAGGGCACATGTGCTCGCCAGAGAGATAGAGAGAGACAGGAAGGCACATAGATCTTTCCCAGACACAGCCAGCCTAGGTCCTGGGCACTTAGTGTGCCTGGCGTGGACTGGAAGGCCTGAGGGTGCAGACCCAGGACCTGCCTGTGTGGGTCTGCATTGCAGAGTTGTGTTACTGCCTCACTCCTGGCTGGCCCCTAGATTCCTTCAATGGGAAACAGTCCCTCCGTCTCTTCATCCTTCATGTCGTTGGCATGGCCAATGAGCACGGAGGTTACTTTATGGACGTTCCTCAGCGTGGTCTGTCTGTTTCCTCATGGCTGGACTCAGTCCCTCGGGAGCACGTGTGATGCTGGGTTGTCTCAGGATGCTCCCTGCGAAGGCACACCATCCCATCTGCCCCTCATTGGCCCTCTTTACATGTGCCCATCATCCTGGGGGCGGGGCATGTCACTACTTCCTGGCACGACAAAATGTACCAGTTTCATCCTGTACCTTCCTGCCCCACGCCTGGAATCAGCCAGTCCCTAAGGGACCTGTGGTTCCTGTGAGTGGGCTAAGACCCGGACATTGGTTGGTCTTTTTGCTCTCCATTTATTGCCCACAGGGCTTTTTTTTTTTTTTCCCTAGAGACTGCATGCACTTGCCTGAGAAAGACAGAGGAGAAAGCACCCCATTGAGGAAAGGTCGTGCCATAATCCCTTCTTCTCCATCACTCCCTCCCTTTGGGGTTTTGGGCACACATGCACAAGTGCCTGGCATGTTTCTTAAGCCACCAGGTCTGGGACTCAAACCGCATGGTTCATCATGTAGGATCTTGCTGCCTTAACCCCCAGGCTATGGAGCCCACCCATCTGGCTTTGTTGTTCTTCTTGTCTATTAATTTGGAGTCACACTGCTTATATACGTTTTATTTTTCCAGTCATGAATGTTGTCTGAGCTGATGGATATGTTTGTTCTCTAGTAATCATTTTACTTTATATTGCATCTTAGGACTTTATGCCGTATACCTTAAATGTATAGCCACAGTAAAATTTATTTTAAAATGTCCCCAAGCCTGATTTTGTATACTTTTGTTTGTCTGCTTATTTATTTATTTATAGAGATTTTTGCCATAGCGTGCCTGTGCTCACCAGAGAGAGAGAGAGACAGAGACGGTGAGAGGAAAAGTGAGAAATCACCCCTGTGGGGGGTATTTCCACAGTGCAGTCTCTTCTCCTCCACTCTCCTCCTGGGATCTTGGGCATGCACGCACACGTTCCCAGCATGGTTTTCAAGCCACTAGGTTCAGGACTCGAACTGCAGTCAGCCATGTGGGAGTCCAGCTACGTAGCCACTATGCCACTTGCTGACCCCATCTGTTTATTATTTGCTTTAAGTTTATTTCATGAGTAAGAGCTAGAGAGAGAAACAGAGCCAGTGCCACAGCACTTTTCACGGGTCTTGGCGTGTGCCCCTCTACTGCGTTAGCCAGCCCCCATCACGGGCACGCGAGTGCCTGATATACACAGGAAGGTCTCTGAGTGCAAATGGGTCACCTTTGTGGGTCTGCCTTGCAGAACACGGCGTTCTCCTGCCGCACCACCGTCCAGCCCTGAAAACCTGATTTTAAAGTCCACATAACATTTGATCATATGAATGACCTTATTTATTGAACCATCCACCTTGGTAGATAATGCAGCAGTGAACAGCCCTGGCACGTAACTGCCCACATCACTGGACGTCTCTGATTACTCTTAGGCTAGTTCTTAGAGGCGAACTATCGTCAGGACAGCAGTGTGAGTGTGCTTGCACATCTTAAGTGGGAAAGTGGCTTGGGCCATTTGAGTTCTAAGGGGTGAGAGAAGCAGCTCTTAGTCGGGAATGGTGCTGGGCTTGGTCTGTTCTGTGAAAAGCAGTACCGGAGTGGGGCGGGGCAAGACTGCTCCAGACAGGGTGTGCCTTGGTGGGCAGAGAAAGGACAGTGGGATGGGGCCTCGTGTGTGAAGGGGCTTGGAGGTGACCTGAGGCCATTGCCGGGTCTTTATTGGGAAGGGAAAGGAGCAGAAACTCCCTATAGGGCCTAGTGTCCGAGGAAGCAAGGGGAGGGGAGGTGGAGGCTCCTATTTCCTCCACTGTGCAGAGGATGGTTCTTGTAGAGCTGTGGGGCTCCAGGGAGGAATTTGGGGCAGAGCCTGGAGTGAAATGAGGCATGAGCCCCCAGCGCCCGCAGCCATCCCCTTCATCCCAGAGCTTGGCACCCTCTCTCCTCCCCTCGAGCTCAGCTTTGCCCAGCTGGCTCTGTCCCCAGGGCAGCAGGCCCAGCAGCAGTGTTGCCTGGTTTCCTTTCATTGTGCCCATGGCCTGCTTAGCACAAAGCCTTCCTTCTCCCAGGCCCCTGCCCTGGGCAAGGCTGGGGTAGCTGGCCCCTCATCCCATGACTCTGGGCAGCTCCAAGGCTGGGTGAAAGAGGGCCTGAGGGCTGGAAGCCTGGCGCTGCCATATTTGAACTTGGCCTGTGGAGAACTTCTTCCCTGGCAGCAGAGCTGGATCTTGGAGAGGGACCCTGTGAGGGGCAGGCAAGACCCTCCCTCACTCAAGAGACCCTAAGCAAAATGGAGAGGTGGGGACCAGACCTTACCTCCAGCCTGCCTGCCTGGTGATGCTCAGGAGCTTCCCAGGGGCATTGGGAGCAGAGAGAAGAGTGGGAGGCACCTGGAAGAGAGGGTGAGCAGTCACTGAGTCTCTCAAGGGCTCTCTGCACCAACTTTAGGAAACCCTCAACCCAGGAGAGCTGCTGTCAGGTCCCTGAGCAGGGAGGCCTCACTGGCATTCACCTCTCCATGAGGAGTTCTGAGGACCGGGGCCCTGACCACAAGGGTGGACTGTGTCTGGAGATGGTGGGCAGCAGCTGATCCCCCCTTCTCTCTCACCCCTTCTGCAGACATCCTTCTACGGCCGTTTCAGACACTTCCTGGACATCATCGATCCCCGCACACTGTTTGTCACTGAGGTAAGACATGGTCGTCACTTAGGGGAGGCCCTTTGGCTTTTGTACATTGTCACCTGAGAATGTGCAGGCCATCTGAAGGGCTGAGGAGAGAGTGAAAAGGATAGCGGTGGTGGGAGGAAGGTATAGAGATATCTGTCTCTATATCTCTGTCTCTGTATCTTGAGAGAGTTCATAAATTGCTGTGAGCTTTTTCCCATTATTGCATTTGGATCTCACAGTCTTCAAGGTAGATACTATTATTTTTTTAAGCTTCAATGAAATTATTGCCATAAATTACATGCTCATTACGAAAGTTCAAACAGTACAGATGTGCTCAAGTAGAACAAAAAAGTATCCAGTAATCACCTTCCCTACCCAGTGCCCTTCTCTCATAGGCGAGGACTACTTGTGGCTTTTACTGCCAGCCTTCTGACGTGCATGGTTCTGAGTTCCGACAGACATCTTCAGCCCTGTGTCCACCACCACAACCAGGATGGGACACACTCCCATCACCCTAGCGTGTTTCCTCATGCCTGTTTCTCATTTATTCCTGCCCTGTCCCCAGCACCTGGCAACCCCTCACCTGCTTTTGGTTTCTTTTCTTTTCTTTTTTTGGGAGAGGTTTTTGTTATAGGGTGCATGCGCTCGCCAGAGAGACAGACAGAGACAGAGAGACAGACAGAGACAGAGAGACAGAGAGAGAGAAACCACCGCCCCCCTGGGGGGGGGATGGCCATACTACCACAGAGACAGAGAGATAGACAGAGACAGAGAGACAGACAGAGACAGAGAGACAGAAAGAGAGAAACCACCGCCCCTCTGGGGGGGGGGATGGCCACACTACCATCCCTTCTCCTCCATTCTCCTCTCGGGATCTTGGGCACGCACGCATACGTGCCCGGTGTGAGTTTAAGCCACTGGGTCTGGGACTCGAACCGCAATCGACTACATGGGAGTCCAGCGACATAGCCATTACACTAACTGCTGGTCCCTCACCTGCTTTTGGTTTCTATCGCTTTGCTGTTTCCAGAATGTCATATAGATGCACCCCCAGTACACAGCCTTGCGTGTCTGCCTCCTTTCCCTTCACGCAGTGCTCTTGAGATTTGTCTCAGTAGTTGCCTGCATCTGGAGCTCATCTTGTCTTATTGCTGAGTAGTGTTCCATTGAAAGAAGGTTCTGGAATGTGTTTATCCATCTGAATGTTGTTCATGAACACCTAGGTTCTTTCCAGTTTGGGGCTATAATGAATAAAACTGCTGTGAGCATTCTCTGTGTGGACGTGCATCTTCATTGCTCCGGAGCAAATAACTAGGAATGGCATTGCAGGCTGATGCGACAGTGTGACATATATGTATTTAACTCTGTCAGATACTGCCGAACCATTGTTCTGAGCGGCTGTCCATCTTACAGTCCCATCAGCAATGTACGAAAGTTCTAGGTGATCTACTTCTTCACCAACACTTGTATTTTTAGTTTTTTATTTACTTTTTTTTTTTTACTATTATTGTAATCTTGTTTATAATACATTGACTCACATAGAGCTTTACAGTGTATTACATTTCTTTTTCTAGAAGGAATACCTTGCATATCAGTCAAGACAAAGACATTACTATCCACATCATCATCAAATAGCTTTTCATCATTTTCCCCCTGATTATTCTTATTATTTTAAACATTCAATCACTATGTATCATTTTGCTTGTAAAAAGAATTTGCCCAGCATGAAATACTTCTCAGACCGGTCCAGTGGAGAATACTGTACGTGTTATCATCAGCAGGTAATAAACCATTTCCGTGTCCCACTAATGTCCTGCCTCTCTATTTATTCTCTTGCTCTCCTTCTCTATACTCTTCCCACCCCATTATTTTCAAAGTTTTGAAACAAATTTTATTTTAGCCATCCTGAAAAGTCCTGTTTTATAAAATTTTTTTTTTTTTTTTGTTATAGGGCACATGTGTTTGCCAGAAAGAGACAGAGAGAGAGAGAAAGTGAGAAATCACCCTCCAGGAAGATGGCCACACCACAGTTCCTTCTCCAGTCTCCTGCTGGTATTTTGGGCACACACAGACATGCCCCGAGCATGATTTTTAAACCGCAGGGTCCAGGACTCAAACTGCATAGCCACCCACATGGGATCCAACCACCTTAAACTCCACACCATCTGCTGGCCCAAGAAATGTGTCTTTATGGGTTTTTATATCTCCAAATACATGTAGGAATGCATATACACAGAAAGTAGCAAACATTAAACACTTGCTATGAACAAGGCAATTTACACGCATTTGCTCGTCAGATTAACTCTCAGCAGCCCCGGCAGGTGGATGCTATTATAAGTTCCATTTTCCAGATGAGAGAACACTGAAGTTAAGTTTAATGCATATAGTACTTGTGAGTGGTGGAGCCAAAGAATGAATCCAGGCATCCGTATCTCCAGACCCTTATTCCCATCCAGTTTGCATTCCTGTTCAGGTAACTTGCATTTATGGAACTTGCCCAAGATGGCCCAGCCTGCGGAAGGCTTGAGCTCCAGCCCTGGGCTCCCTGAAGCGAGTCCCTGAGCCTCTGAGTGAGTTTCCTGAGTGGGCAGCACTTCACTGAACATCCTCTCTGTGCTGAGCAGTGGCTTTACTGCAGCCCCGGGTTGACTGCCTCTAAGAGAGAAGAGCCAGGATGGGAGGAAGGACCATCCCCAGTGTGCTGGAGGAACAGCCCAGTAATGTGGAGTGTGGAAATTACCCTGAGAGGTGGTTTCCTGAGGCATCTCAGTAAAGACCAAGGGCTTAGGTGTTTTCCCACCTGGCCTTCTCTGCCCCTCTGGGCTACCACCTCTTGAGAACAAGGGTGTTGCACTTCTGGGCTGCCTGAATTATCCTAAGGACCAAGCAGTGCAATTGCTTAGAAATTGGGAAGAGCACCAAACTAGAGAAACTACTGACCTGGCCTAGGTAGCATCATTCTGGAAAGTTCCAGAACTGTGCAGTACTAGATACAAACACAGTCCTAATATTCCAACTGAAATGCTAACTGCTTGATGGAGGAATCAGCAGAAACCAGTGCTAGCACCAAGGAGAGAAGTGCTAATGGTGGACTTTGGGGTGCACTGAGAAAAGGTGGGAGCCAGCGGGTGGCGTGGTAGTTAAGACACATGGCTGACCATGGCAGAGTCCCAGACCTGGTGACTTGTCCCTTTCTCTCTCTCTGTCTCTGTCTTTCTCTAATGAGCACATGTGCCCTATAGCAAATTAAATAATAATACATTTTTTAAAAAGATTTATTTTTAAATGTTATTTATTGTCATTATTCTTCAGTTTTGACCAGAGAAAGACAGAGAGAAAGGGAGAGTGAGAAAGCAAGCCGCCAGATCTGGGACTTGAACTGTGGTTGGCCATGTGGGAGTCCAGCGCTTTAACCACCACACCACCTGCTGGCCCCAATACTAATAAATTAAAAAAAAATTAGTGGTGGGAGACATAGGAGGTAAAGAGATATTTCAGTGGCCCAGTGATTACCACCAACTGGCAGGGGCTTTGGGATAGAGGAACAGCTATGATGACGTGTGCCAGGGGGCCAGACCCTCTTCTCTTCCAGACCACCCTCTTCCCATTCTTAGACCATTTCATTTTTCTGCTCTCTCCCTGTACTACATCATCCTTTCTTTTTTTTTAACTTTTATTTATTTCTACAGTGAGTGACTGAGGCAGAGAAGACAGAGTCAACACCCCATAGGGTCTTTGTACTGTGATCCAACCCCAGCCAGCCACACCCATGCCCAGTGTACTCAGGGAGGTCTCTGATGTAAGCCCACGAAGGGCCTTCTCATGTAGGTCAGCCTGGCAGAACGTCATGTTTTACCACTGTGCCACCCTCCTAGCTCCCTGTTCCACACTTCTCCTATTCAACTCCTACATTTTGAGAGACCCCAACATTCTTGGACATCGTTAAACCACTTTTTGGCCAGTGTTCTCCTATCAGTAAAACAAAGCCAAAGCTCTTAACTTTAAAAAAAACTACTAATTGAAATGTCAAAACAACTTAAATATTTACCGACTAGAAAAGAACCGAGGCAACCAGTTTTAGAATATTTTTCAAATTTCACATCCCCCTTCCCCTAGTCAGAGATTCTGATAGGTTTCCAGAAAGATCTACACATCCTCTCCCTGTTGCGGCTCAGATGGGGCTGATTTCTAGGACTACTTGCTGGAAAGTATCTGGGCAGTTCCTGACCATAGATCTTCTAGGCCCTAAAAACTCTTATGGGACCTGAGTGGAGCCCCCAGGCCAGCAAGGCAGTGGCTGTAACCCTCATGGGCTCTGGCCCTAGCAGGCTGGTTAGCAGAGACACCCCTACTGACACCATGAGGAGGACAGCTTCTCACCTGAGCCCTCTCATGAACCGTGAAGTACGGAGAGCCAGGCTCTCCCCTGCTGCTGGGCTCAGCCCACAGACCGTGGCTTGTGTCTCCGAAACACTGTTTCTCTCGCAGGGCCCTTGGCTGGTGTCCTTGGAGGGAGTGTGGGGCAGTGGCCACCCAGTTGGAGGCCATCCGGATGGGCCCATTCGTGAGGGCGGGAGGTAGTGGAGGGCATGAGGAAGTGGCTCTGGAAGCTGGACGTTCCAAGGTGGAAAGGTCCTGGGTGCTCAAGCCATCTGGCAACCCAGTTCTGGGGGGCGTTAGCTGAGTCAGTGGGCAGGCTCATCCTGAGAGTTTTGGAGCTACTTTTTTTGCAATTTATAACTGACCAAGCTTTAAAAAGATTCCAACCCTTGTATGTCTAATGAGGCAGAGGGAATGTTATTCACTATAATTCCTCCTAGGAAGAGGGCTGTCTTTGTTCTAAGAATGCCTTGAACAAGGCTTCAGAGGAGGAGGAGGTTGCTTTGTTTGACAGAGGGAAAAGAATTGTACTTTCTAATCCTAAAAGGAAAGAAGACCAAAAAAGGAAGAAAAAACAGTGAGAAGGAGGGCAAAAAACCAGAATCTGATGACAGACCCTTAAAAAAAAAATTGCCACAGTG